TCAATAGATATTAATATTGGTAATATTATTAATTAATTATCAGTACTAATAATTCGTGATGAGTATCTCAAATGCAGAATTGTATAATATGATTGGAGTTTATTTCGAATGTCACCAAAATGCCGCTATTGCCTCACGTACATATTCTGTAAGACATCCTGACAGGAGACATTATGGCAAAGAAGTATTTGAAAGAAAGGCAAGAAGATTAAGAGAATCTGGTAGTTTTCATCGTCCTTGTTTTAAACGACGTAGTAGAGGTATGACCGAAGATAATTCAATAAATGTTCCTGCTTTAATTCAACAGAATCCACATATAAGTAGCCGGCAAATCTCTATAGAATTAAACATACCCAAAACTACTGTTCTGAGGATTTGAAAACATCACCCTTTAAACTTTAGATTCAACTGTTTTAGTAAAGAGTTTTAGTAAATATAGTGGTTTCTTTTTCACCAATATTTGTTGTTCTGTTTTTTAGACTGCATCCTTATGATGTAGTTCTCCACCAAGCTTTACATGAGAGAGATTTTGATGCAATGCTGGATTACTGCAATTGGATGTTAGGTCTATAACGATAATATTTTGCTTACCTCAGGGTAAGAACATGGGGTAGAAGATTGGGCAAACAAAATAAATCGAAACTAGTGCGTACGGCACTCAGTTGGTTGTTGGAGAGCTGGGTCGTGGATAAGTTGAAATAAAATTGGGTCGGATTGGAGTATATACTAAAAAATAAAATAAAGGGGTACTTATACAAATCTCTTGGGACAAAAAAACAAAAAGAAACAGGAAACACTTCTAGTAATTTATTTAGAGCGCCACTTTGAGGTGCCTAATTATAACTAGTACAACAACTAGTTTGTGACTAAATAAATAATTATTAAAAAATAAAAACATAAAAAAATATCTTTTTCAAATAAAACTCAAAATAGATCAGAGAAACAAATTAAACGTTTATTTTTGTCTCAAACAAACAGTTATCAAAAATACAGATTTTACAAGAACATACTATACAACATAATCTAAATTTAAAAAACTTACGTGTTATTTGTTTACAAAAGAGATTGCTACAAAAATTTTGAAATGGTTCCTAGGTTATAATATGGCCAATTTAGATTATCAAAAAAAACTTATGGATATCCTTTTTTTATGAAAATACTGTAGAATTTAACTTTATATATGAAATCTCTTTTATATATAATAACCAAATTGAAATTGTTTTACAACAATGGATTACAGCAAATGTCACATTTCAACATAATATAGAACTTTAATTATTATAAATTCTTTAATGTTTAATGAAAGTAATTATTAAAAATGTCTATATTGAATTTAAAATTTAAACACAAAAGTTACCTTTAAATTTCACTAAATTTCACTCGGCATGTCTGGGGTCGAGAATTGGATCTATTGGACTTGAAAATTTCTGGGAGAACTGGACTGGAAATCTCTGCACACGAACAAAAGGACTGCTTCAAGACATGGAGGATTAAAATGGGCGGCAGTAGATACAAGCTTCAGACTGGACTTAAAAAAAACAGCAAACTGGAACATCAGAATTGCTGCAGGCGACACAAATCTCTTAAATACCTTGCAAAATGTGCAGTGATTACTCTTTCCAAAACTGACATATTACAGAGAATAAATTTCACTACATTCAACAAATTTTTGCAGGTATTTTTTTGTCAAAACTACATAATGACCGTTGCCTTCGACCAAATCGTTAACCTTCCTGTTTCGTTAATATTCTCAACCTGCCTAACCTTTGTTCGATTTCAAACCAAAAACGCAAAATAATTCCCCTCCTGACCTAAATCTAATATCGGCGTGGGCGACCCTCTTTACCTTAAAATTCTTGATTTTAAAACAGGCCTCAATTATGTTACAAAGCGACTTTCAAATAAACTACTTTTAAATATGAAGGAATAACACGTATTATATTGATTTTTCCAAGCGACCCTAAATTTAAACCGGAGTTTTTACCTGACTTTGTAACAGAAACAAACATCTATATTTTTGCCATATCTCGTCGAAAAAACCTTGAAATATTCTAGTTCGAAAATCAAGCATTTAAAACATATGTAACTTCTCCGTAGAAATATTAAAAAAAACTTGCTATATTATCGATCGTTTTTCTTGATATAAACTACCAGGGGTGTATTACAAAAATCTAAAATATTAAACGCTACAGGTCTGCTAGAAGAACAACCGCATATCATATCAAAGATTTTGTGGACAGTCGAGGATACGTTTAATAGTGCAGGTGGTGTTAATCTGCATAATATGCATTATTGAGCTGAAGAAAGTCCGCACTGGATACATGAGGTGCAGGTTTAAGGTAGATGGAGTCTTAATGTTTGGTGTGGTATAGTTGATGGAAAGATCGTAGGTTCATATTTCTTTCATACAACTTTAAATGGCGAAACATATTTGGATTTTCTGGAAAATCAGTTGCCTGTTTTATTGGAAGATATTTCCTTACAAACAAGAAGAGATATGCTATTACCACATGACGGGTGTCCTGCGCACTTTTCTAGACGAGTTCGAGATTATTTGTATGCAAATTATCCAAATAAATGGATTGGAAGGGGAAGTAGATTTTCATGGCCAGCTGGATCTCCAGACTTAACATGTCTGGACTTTTATCTGTGGGGAAGATTGAAGGACTTAGTGTACCAAACTCGACCAACCACGCGAGACGACATGAAACAGCGCATTATAAACGCAATAAATAGTATATGAACAGCTGAGATTGAAGCAGCTTTTATGTCTACGCGCACAAGATTACATCTTTGTGTGGACAACGATGGAAAACAATTTTAACATTTAATTAGACATTAAGTTTTAGTGATCGAGATATTTGTATGATCTTTCACATATTTAATGTTAAGTTATAATAATGGGTGAGTCAATACTATACTTACTTATGTTTATGCGTTTTTATTTATATCTCGAGTTCGGCCAAAGCAATCAACATGCGGTTTGCGCCATTTTATTACGAATTTAATCCAGTTTCTTTATAATGTACAATAAATATGTGTTTCCATTAAACATTTTGAAGAAAATCAAATTTTAATTTTTTCTATTCGAAAGTACCCTCTACCCGTGACAATTAGAACTAAATTCAATTTTTTTTATAGTAGATTTCAATTGAATCATCCACACTCTTTCTAATGACACTAATTTCGTTAATAACGGTTGATCCAAACCAAAGTTATAGGTATTTATCTACAAATACTTTCCCACTCTCCCCCACCCTTTATTTGAAAAAATAAAAAAAAGTACTTGAACAACTTTGTGCGGAATTTAGGCCTCTTTCTAGTTTACTTATTTAACACTTGGTATAATTGCGCATATTTCACAAAAAACTGGTTTTCAAATTTTTCTTCACAGGTTACGCCCTCTAGCGGTTAACCCAGAAACTTGAAAGTTATTTCCAGCGATTTTTCTTGGCCCTTTTTTACTTAGGAATTTTGTCTCCTAAAGTTATAACATGAATAGTTTCTGATATATAGCCGAGAGATCGGTTTATTGGACCACGCGGTACAGCTAACCTAGTTATTTAAATGGGTCCCTGACAATATTTATATATTAGACCCCTGATATACCCCAAAATTTAAATTTTACCGAAAGGTTGGACCTAATAATAAAAACTAATAAATAACAAATAATAAATACGGTAATGTTCTACTCGCTTATGTAATTTAGCTTCCGTACAGTATTGGTTTTACTAGTGAAATGGTAGACTGACCCTGACGTCTCACAAAGGATAGATTAAAGGAGGGTATTTGACCAATAAATTATTAAAATTAGTTATTGAAATATTATTTAGAAAAAAATGACGGGTATTTATTATAAGGTGATGGTCCGGTGGAGAACTTGACCTCAGGTGAAAAAAAAAATAAAAAAATTATCGACCCAATTGAACATGAGTTCGTCCACTATTTTTTCAACAAACAAAAATTCCAACTTAAAATAAATTCTTCCTCTAACTTTTGGCTGATTTCTGGGAAGTGGGCTAATAAGAACAATTGTGTTACTTACCGTTCTTTCTGTTTAAATAAAGGTAGGAAAAACACAAGGTTTATTAAACTTGAAAGGTGATACAAAAAATGTTACCAAGTAACATTGGAGACAAAAACCTTAATAGTTTTGTAAAATGTCCACATGACAAACAGAGTATGTACTACATAATTTTCTTAGCATTATGTGTGATTTCGGCATTCCATACAGCCTTATTTTGAGGTCTATGAGATAATTTTACCTTCAAGAAGTCAATTCCCTGTTTTCTCGTTTTCCGAAGCATCCTCCTGTGTGTCCCAGATATTGTTAGCCGAGAAACCTCAAGCATCTCGATATCTTTTAAAAGAGTCCGCATAAGGACCTCAGTATTTTTATTACCCAATGTGATGGATTTGTTCTCTTCCAGTCTGTGGAATAGCCTCAGTGGAAGTATTAGATTTAGTTGGGTCCTCCTGCGAGTTCCATGAGATTAAGTTTTTCAAGTTTGTACATGGTTCCATACTGATCCCACGAGTACGGGAGAAGTAATTTGTCTACACCTGCAGCGCTACCTGTACGGGTGTAAGGCCTTAAACGGGGTGTAGCCTGGTTCCCAAAGTCGATCGTTGGAGACAATTCAACTTAGACACAGTATTCAGCGTATATTGGAATAACAAAAAGCAGTGTAGGTACACATTTTACTGAACATATGAGAACTGGTTCTTAATGGAATATCATACTAATACTCAGGGATGATCAAGGAGGCTATCGAAATGTATGCCCGTATAAACCCGGATAAAAATGGGCCTTCCACAAGGACCGGCGTGAAAACCTACACATTTTGATAATGTTGAGTTAATTCGTATTACATTAAAGTTTCATTTAAGTATTGTTATGAATAAATTTGCAAATATGAAGGTTAGGATCTACTTAGTCTTTTTAAATCTAGCTCGTTAGATCTTGCAATATATTTTAATCGCCACGTTATTATTTGCAGATTTGCCAGTAGTGTAGAACAAGCAGATAGACGACAACCTGCCGTCTCTAGGATGAAACAATTAGTAAATAATAATACAAATCCGTTAGGCTCAGAACAAAATAATCCATCTCATCCAAACGCAGTTGTAATTCAACAAGGGAACAAAGTAAGAACATCATTAAGGCAGCACGAACGACAACAAGATGAACTGTTCCAACTCTAGCGTATGTTCCTATAATTTGTTGCTGATATGAGAATTCATAGATTGATTTGGTACCACTTTATAATTGCAGTATTTTTGAGTGACGCTTTACGGTTGCTAACTATTTTTTTTATTTGTTTAATTTACAAAATTTATTATACAAAAATGTCACCTCAATTTATAGTGTTTTACATTATATAGTTTAAAGAAACTATAAATTGAGATAGTATTGCCGTTTTGACTTCGAGATTGACAGCTGCTTTTAAAATAGATTAGCTTCAAATCTGGAAATCGAATCGTCAATAACCAAGAATTGATTTTCAAGTTTGTTTCTTATTACCAAAAATATACGAAAATAATATACACAAACAAACAAAACAACTAATATATTATAATACAATATTTTTATTCAGTGAATAGAAAACAACACTTGTTTCAAGATTTATATTGATACATAATATCGAAAACAACTTAAATAATAAATAAATTGTCGTATTATTTTAGCCAACTCTCTACATGCGTACGCTTTGATGCATACTTCTAATGATTGAAGCAGAGATATCTTCCTTCTTTGTATGACTGTAATATCCTTGGTAGCTTCTTTAAGAAACTGTTGTTTTGTTTATTTCCTTGATTGTTCCCGAAAGCTATCCACAGCCAATAAAATTTTCTTTTTAAAAACTCCACCAGGCTATCTTTACCGTACACATTTTGTTCAGCCTTGTCCATTTTTCAGTCCAACAGTTCATTTTTTACTATCGACAGTTGTACTTTCCTTCGAGTTCAGGAAATTCTGCCTTCTTGTGAAAGAACGTTGGTTTGTATTTGGAGTCGTGAATTCTTTCATTTTTCTTCAAGGCGTCATAGAACTCTCACTGGAGATATAGAATTACTTCGATGCTGTTCAATTTTCCAGTAGTTTTACTGCATGAATAAGTTTGCAAGTTTTTCACGTGCGGTATAAGAATAAATAAGAATGTCATTCCCAAAAATGTTCCATCTTAACTGAAGAGGTAGAATTGCTGTGGATTTAATACGGGCTGGTGTACTAGTTAGAATCATATTATAATCAGAAAACGTTATAAAAGTCTTGTGTTGGGTAAAAATATCAACGGTTATACGCGACATTGTATTCATATTATAAACAAAGACGTTATGTAATATGCCCACCTCATATTCAAACATATATTTGCCGAAAAAATATGTGGAACACATTAGACGAATTGATCGTCATTGTATTTGTTACTCTTTACTAGTGTTTTAATAATAAGCAAATCTTTGTATTGAGTGATGTTTCTTCTTTAAACTATGCATTTGTCGTGTAACTTCTCTTTCATTTCAAAAATATTCTTTGGTATTTAAAATTTTTCAGTATATTATCTAAATACTTGTCTCATAAGCTAGAAATCATGTGATAAACGTTTATATAGACAAAAAGGACTCACAGCTATTTTTTTCTACGAATGGAGTCCTTCTTAGAGCCTTTTTTCAGTGCGTCATTAATTGTGACGTCATATACTGTATCGGATGTGTCGAGAATTATTTCATGTAATTATTGAGAATTCTGACAGATGCCAGAACCGTACTTACTTTTATTGCAAGGTGGATTAAATAATAGTAAACAATATTGTTTATTAAATTTATAAATAAAACAAATAATGTTTTCAAAGATGTTTATTGGGTAATTTATAAATTAATTACATAAAGATGATATAATTCAAATCATAAAAACAATTTATTCACTGATGCCTAATAATAATACTTTATTGCAGACATTGAAAAGTAGAATTTGGATATCAATGAAATATTAAAACCTTTCCTGTATTAATTAAAGATTTTTTTGGAGTTTAAATTACTTAGCTAGGTGCAGCGTCTTACAAAACCCTAAGTTATCTGGCCGAACAATTATTCAAAAACGTTAAAGACACTTTGAGGAATTTATCAGCAATTAAAATTTTTGAAAAATTACTTACTGAAAAATTATTATTACAAAAATTATTGCAAAGTTTTTTGCAATATTAAAGCTGACGAGGTATAACAGATTACCACGAGAAAGGTTATATTGGCCATTAGATGGGTCCCTGTGTATACAACGCTATTTGTATGAGCAGAGAATGGTACTTTTATATAAAAAAGTTTGTTCGTCTAGCGGATAATGCCAGACTAGGCGATTTAAAGATTCTATGTATAAAACTAGACCCCTAGCAGATAAAATTATAAAAAATTCTGCCCGTGGGGATGTTTCCATAAACATATATCCATAGACGTTAGTTTTGATATTAGGAATTTGTCTATTTAAATGCTATATGCAACAGTACTCCTTTCATAAATCGTAATAACCATATTTGAATAATCCAATGTATAGGTAATATTTTAACTAAACTGTTGTAATGCTCTTACCTGTACTAAACATTCTGTGTACACACATCCTAGTGGCATTTTCGTATTTATTTATTAATAATGTCGGTTTACGACTCGTGGCTACTGATTTACTCATTGTGATTTAATAATCAGAATCTTTTTAGACACCTTCATTTGCCAATCGTCTTATTGTTGGTAAAGAAATTCCTAACGCCTCAGCAACACGCTGAAATAAACAGTAGGTAAAAATAAAACAATTTTATTTTCAGTGTAATCTTAAACTTACTACACTTATTACACTAAACTTACTACACAAAATATTTAAGTAATTTAAGTATCCGAACTTGTTCCTGTTCCGTAAATATTGGCATTTTAAAAATATTTTAATGAAAACCAAAACAAAATAAAAATATAAACACAAATAATGCACAACAACACTATGAAATAATGTAAAAAACTGACCTGAACCAATTATTTATCTATGACCTGAACCGACAAGATCACGTCACCCTTCGACACTTCGAAAGAATGGCCAAATGAATGAAGTTTTACATCAAATGTTCGTGACTGATTGGCTAGAGAAAGCGCGCTTTTCAAATATCAACGAATCAAACGTAAGTTAAGAATAGACCGGTTATGTAAGCAACGCTGTAATATTTTCATGTTTTAATCACGGAACTGCCGCTTTTCTCATCACATCCAACTGAATGCGTTAGAAAGAAATCGAAAAACTGTGACGCACTGAAAGAAGGCTCTGAGAAGGAGTATAATATATTATAGTCGCTAAAAAAATTTAATTCCATGTTACGTATATTCCAGTTAAGTTAAATTTTATATACTGTATTTTAAAATAATTTTATATATATTTCCTGTTATACTAAATCGAATGGATTATGAAACAACATAGTCTTGTTCATTTCCAGATTTTATATTTTAATCGTGAATTAAATGGTTTTCACACTCAGGCTTCATTATAAAGATGGTAAATATAAAAATCGATTCACTGAATTTGCCTATAGTTAAGAATCATTTGTACCAATGATAAGTTTTGTTTTATGTATTTATGTATAAATAATTAATTAGGTGTGTACAGTCTGATTTATTGAAGTAACCGATATCGCTTTCAAATGAAAGTCTTGTTTGTATATAAAGGAAATTTTGTTATGTAAGATACAGAATTAATATATTATCATCGAATAAAATATTTTGTCGTAAGTTATTTTTAGTTTATTTTGTTATTTCTACTTGAGTCGAAGACAAAGAATGGATGTCTCTAAAGCGGCCCCTAGACAGTCAATATTAGCGTCAATATTATTGTACCATATATTCTACAATAAATTAGTTCCCGACTGAAACTTGTGCTATCAACATGTGGAATAAAAAACGGCGAGTTGTGTGGCTCTCGCATTAGTTGTAGCATCAAAGTTCAATTAGTTGTACCTTTGCAGTGACAAAAAATAAGCACAGGTGGATGAAAGAATGGTTAAAAAAAGAAATAGGTACACTCATGAAAATTTATTAAATGATTTAAGAATTAGCGAATCAAGTGATTTTCAAAACTTATTGAAATCATTATCAGTTGGCGGTACAGCCCTTCTTGAGCCTAGGCCTGCTTCAAAATATTCTTCCATCCTTCCCTATCGAGTGTCTGTCTTCTCCAGCCCCTAACTCCAATCTCCCTCAGATCTTCCTGTACATCGTCCAGATATCTGAGTTTAGGTCGCCCCCTTCTTCTTCTTCCGACCGGCCTGTTTAGCATAGTTATTTTAGTGGGATCACTCTCATCCATCCGCATAACGTGGCCCACCCACCTTAGGCGGTTTATTTTGATGGTCTTCACAATATCTGCATCACCAAAAAGTCTATAGAGTTCAAAGTTATATCGCCTTCTCCACAGACCCTGTTCATATACTCCGTCATATATGGTCCTCAATACTTTTCTTTCAAAGACTCGTAGCAACTCTTCATCTCTGGTCGTCATTGCCCATGTTTCCGATCCGTATGAGAGCACTGGGCGCATTATTGTTTTATAAAGTTTGCACTTTGTTGCTATTGACATACTTCTCGCTTAGTTGAGGACCCAGACCGAAATAACAGCGGTTAGCCACGCATATTTTTTTTTATTTCGTTGGATGTGTTATTTTTGTACCATTTTGTATTTCAATATAAGGTTGAATGTTCGAATAATTAAACTTTGAGGGTATACAAGGCAACTATCGAACACGGTGATTAATTTAATCTTGCCCAAGTACTTTCGATCAATAGATCATCTTCAGGGGCATTTCGTCAGTTGTGGCCTATCCGACATAGTAGAATGTCATAAATGTAAAATTTGGACATAACAATACAAAATACAATACACTAAGACAAACAAACACTTTAAAATTTATAAGAAGCTACATGTTGTATAGAAGCCGGAGACAGAATGAGTACTTGGGAAGAAGAGAATAGTACTTGGGCAAGATTAAATTAATGACCGTGTTCGATAGTTGCCTTGTATACCCTCAAAGTTAAAAAAAAACATTTTGTATTTGTCTACCAGTAATCCTAAGTAGCAGAATTCTTCTACCATTTCTATCGTTTCGTGTTGCACCTCTAAGTTATTTTGTTGAATTCTTGATATGGCCGGCATATATTTAGTTTTCTGGATGTTAATCAGA